CTCAATGGAAACAACAATTTTGTATTTCAATAAAACAGAATCATTCAGATGTCGAGCTGATATTTATTCCAGGCGCAGTTCACATGTCACATTTTAGAATGGAATTTGATCTCGTTCATACGACCGCCGCGAGCACGTTTGCTGCGTTCAATTCTTTGAAGCCAATTTTCCACCTCTCATCCACTGATGTCGGACGAAATGTTGGCAATTTTGCGTTTCATATTGTTCTTAAGCTCGTTTAACGTTGTTGGCTTGTTGGCATAAACCAACGACCAAACGTAACCCCATAAAAAGCAATCCATCGGCGTTAGATCGCACGAATCAAGTGGCCATTCGGACCATTTTACAAGATTACACGATTATCTAACTTCCACCTCAATAGATCGATTGTTTGACTGACTGCACACGTGCTCGCGCTGGTGGATCGAATTCCATTCTTAAATGTAACATATGTACTGCACCTGGAAGAAATTTCAGCTCGATATTTTGATTATTATATGACATTTGTACTACATGTGTATAAAAATAATACTTCTTTTTATGATCCCTTGACGAGAATGTGCCGAACGTATAATGAATTAATAGCATCAGAATCTGGAGGTCTCATTGATGTTTTTGACAACAACATCTACAGATTTCGTAACAATATTCAGAAACACTTCGCCTCGTCTTCACATTAGACATCATTGGTATTTATATTTCCACTAGTTTTTGAGCTTTTATATATTATTTCATTTTTATCCATATTCACGTGTTTAAGAAACTGTTTGCTTACTTTTTAATAGTAATGTTTACGAGCTGAATGATCATGCTGTATGTACATATGTTAGGTTTACATCCTAGATTAAAACCATAAATTGTAACATTTATTGGAGTACCATTGAATGTAAACTGTTTTGTGCATCAAGTAAATAAATAAATAAATAAATTATTCCGTTGTTTATTGAAATACAATACTGGTATGTCCTTATTGAAAAACGCGATACTAGACAACATCACATATGAGGCCATGAGAACCATAGTGGCCTAATTCAATGGGCAAGCCATAGTGGCCTATCTTACTTAGGCCAGTATGGCACCTCAAATTTAGATCACAGACTAAAAACCATAACAATGATTATGCTGCCATCTGGTGAAAATTCGTTGTATCACTTTTAGGCCTTTCTGGTTCTATCAAATTGATCAATTTGAACTGGAAAAAATCATAAACTCAATATTGTAAAAAAATGAGTTAGGCCACTATGGTTCTCATGGCCTCATATGTTGCTTCGATACTAAAGTAAGTAACAAAAGCATTTGTGTTAATAGAATTCGGAAACACGACGGTACCACAAACATCTAGACCCGAGACAATATAGAAAAGTTATTTTTGTGCATTAACCCGCATAGACCTCAGAGATGGCAACACCATGAAATCCGGTGTGCAAGCCACTCGACCACGGAGGTCATTATTAAGGCATATTGCCCCGAGAAGAATGAGGAACAAACTCTAAAGCCAGGTTTCCCACAGCGGTTTGTACGGTTCTACAAGATGGTCTATGGGGTCTGAGGTAAGGTGGCCTAAGTTATATATACGCGATTTTATGACCTAATTATGTAATGATTGCATACAATACTTCTTCCATGAGTTCATAAAATAACGAAGCACAACCAGTATCTAATGTATATTTTGTTAACAATCCGTGACATCGAACGCATTTTTTTTAATACATTTTCACCCATTTATTTGTGTAGGCAAAGGTTCCACCACACAGCCTTTTCATATATTTAGACGAAACCCAAACAAACGTTACATGAAAAAGATAGAATAGAAGTGGCTAACTATGGCATAAATTGTAACCAACAATTTTTTTAGTGAACGTTTATGACCCGGCTGAAAGATCTTTACGCCCATTTAACTAATCAGGAGGCAGTAGAATGCTTGAGTAGCGTCATATTTGATATTTTCATTAGCAAAAATACGACGTTCTTTTTTTGAAACTCATTATAGTTCTGTGTACAGACATTTTTCAGTTCGGTAGAGAGTACTATAGACAATAGAATTTCGATTCTGAACTAAAATGAGCGCCTTTGTGATGTAGTTTATGAAATTATTTATAATTATTGATAGATACAGGAGTAGAATAAAATATTTTGAGAGTACCTACGCGGACAAATTGTCGGAGGCCCGCGAAAAGATCGAGAGTTTAAAAAAAATGCTATGTTTACCGTGTGACCATGTGTCGCGGACGAAATCGATCATGCATAGTTTCATTAAACTTGGTTATTTATGAATTTCATTATAAAATGATTTATATATACATTTTTGTTTACCTTAGTAATTATATTTTATATTCTATATAATCTATTTTATAAATTGTTACGTTTTTTCTTTCTAAATATATGCAATCTGTGGAAACTCTTTCATGGAAATGCTTACTTTTGGCGGATAGTGTAGATAGTGTTCATATTACAAAGGTATATGATTATATGACACCATCAGAAGCTATAAAATCTTTTTGTAGCAGAATTTGTGAGTAGTTCATATTTGATTCTATATGTGTCCAATAATAAACGCCTGTTAAAATATTATAGCAAATTTGTTTTCATGCTGTCGTACAGTAACAAAGTTTCAGGTCGTCTAAACGTCTACAAGGTTCCATTGTATTGTAGCGTCAATGGCTAAAACTTTGTTTCGTACAAACTTCGTACAAAGGTACGTCGATGAAAATTCAAAAATAAAAAAGAATAAATCGATATGAGATTACAGCACTCCGGCTTTAACAAAGCGTCGCCGGCCGTTGTAGTTCAAGAGTTAGTATTTAGTGAATTTGCTCAGAACATTTCTTCAGGGTAGTGCTTAACACCAGTGCATAAAAGATTAAAACACGCATTGTAAGACACTGAATTTGTGTTCAAAATTATCATAAAAGTCATAGAAGTCGTGTAAGGTGTTATAAAAAGATAGACTATGTAAAACATAGTGAAAAAACTGGAAGAAGAAAAACGATATACAATGTCCGAAAAATAAAATTAGAACAGTGCATGCAAACCACACAATACAACGTGCTTGTATCTTACGTGTGAGCGCGTCTCGGAGCGCGATGCCGAGAGCCTCCAATGTCGCCTTTACCGGTCCGTGGTGGCGCTTGAATATTCTTGCATCTATTTACATAATTGTCATCTACATGATTCAAAATCTACACTTAGATCTACCTTAATATGTACATTGTTTAAATTAAACACTGTAATGTTATAGGGTTGTCGAAATGCAGCAAGCTAAGCGAGCCAAACTTTCTCAGTGTCCGTTTTCAAATAGAATTACTACAATTTCTACCGATATGCGTGAAATTTGAAACTAGCATATAAGAGACAATTCTACAAGCAGTGATGAAGCTCAAACGTTGAATTTCACTTGTGATAATTGAGGTCAGAGGTTACTGCTATGTTAAGTCTATGAGAAAATATTCAAAGAGTAGAAATGTGTAAAAAAAAAGAAGAAAGACTGCTGCCCTCGGTAGTGAATTAACATTTACATCTGCAATCACAATTTAATGCAGAAAACTTAGATTTAGAATCTTCGGATGATTAACAATGATTAACGAAATCGTGCCTAAAAAAAACATTAGACATTATTGGGTTTCAGTCATTGACTTACAATTATATGGACGTCGGGTCCGCGCTAAAAAGTGTCCGAACTTATAGGGCGTTAAAATCGTATACAGAGCGTCATTCACGCTTTAGTCTTCGTTTGTTCGACTGACAGCGAAGCAAGCAAAATTAGACAGTACTGCGATGACATTACAATTTAAATTCAACGTTTTAGCTTTTTCATATTCTTTTACATGTCACTACGTTTAAATAGGTTGACTTGGGACATTTTTTTCGTGGTTTTTGTATTAGACCCGTCGTCCATTTATTTGTAAGTCAATGGTTTCAGTCAAGTTTCCCGTGGCGTGACACTCCATTAGGCAAGTGTTTAGTTCCATGGGATTTCTTAGTGGAATCCTATATTGAGTACATAATATTACGATTTTCAATAAATCTAATTTAGCTGTATGCTCTATTTTTAGTGGACAAGTTTTCATTGTTGACGAAAGGTTTGAATAAAAATATTATTTACTCGTAAGTTAAGAACTCTTTACTCTCTCTTAAATACCGTAGATGTAAAAAAAATTATAGTTTTACATTTTTACTTTAAAAACATTTCGAACTGCATTCAAAGATTTTTAAATAATCGTCTGAACCAGGAATCGAACCCAACAAATGTGAAAAAAAAACACCTGCAATTTTGTTATACTTATCGAAAGCCTCAATAAAACGGATTGTTTTCTTCTAAATAATATAGCATCTTAAATAAAAGGAAGAGCGTGAAATTTAAAATTTAATTCAAAATTTTGTTCAAGAAAATGAAACTGTACAAGATTTAGTTTACAGGAACCGTCTTGAGAGTGTGCATAGTTATATAATAAACTTAGACGTATTACTTGAAACATTCACCATGAAAAAGATAAATAAATCAACAGGATAAGTACGAAATTATCAAAAGCGTGAATTGTCATTCTATCGTATACTACAGATAAGGACACATTTTGATCATTTGATAACTTAAACTGATTGTAAGTTCCAGTTATTTTAATTAAATGTTAAATTTTCTGGTCTTCCTTTTGTTGAAGATGTTATGTTATTTAGAAGAAAACAATCCTTATGATTGAGGCTCTCGACCTGTGTAGTAAAATTACAAGTGTTTTTTTTTTCACATTTGGCGGGTTCGATTCTCGATTCAGACAGGCGATAATTTAAAACTCTTTGAATGCAGTTCGAATTATTTTTAAAATCAAACGCATTCGATACCTGCATTACAGGATTTCTTAAGTAGCTTATTTAATAGTGGCAGGTAGTGGTAAATTCAGACCTACTGTGGAACTTACTGCAAGTCCTTGATCGGTCTATGCATCTATGGAAGAGCATTGTAAACATTACTTGAGAGGCTAGATAATCTATAAGGTAATGGTACTCACAAGCAGGATGGTTGTAGAGCGATGACACAGGTGTTCCTTCAAGGGGTCCACCGGCAAGCGTAGCTGACAATGTTTCGAGGAACTCACGGACATTCCGCAGCTCGCCACTCGCCCTGCTTGGCCCAGGACTCTCGCAACCCTCGCATTCTTCTTCGTCTGCAAGTTGGAATATACGGAACAAGTTACTCATATAATTTGCCTCTAACTTTATAAACTTGTGGTTGTGTGCTTTCGATTCCCATTTTAGATACACCGACCGAATTTTGGTCGAATTTTCACATAATTACACCCGCCGCGCTCCCGATCAGTTACGCGCGCGACACGTACCCGCTTCAAGTGTGTTTTACGCTTATGTAATAATAAAATTATTTTAAAATGCTGTTAGAGGTGAACTAGAACTTCAGCTAAGAGAACTTCAATTTTGGACAATATTTAGATGTAACTAACCAATCTGCTCCAATTTCTCGCTGCTGGTGGACCACGGCATGAGGCTGAGGGCCCGCTGGACCTGCTGCAGAAACCACGCGCCCGACTCGAACTTCACCGGTCTGGAAACATTAGTATAGTAAACTTAATCTTAAAATAAGAATAACAATGTGTTAGATAACTACACGGATGGTCTCAAACTAAGGTATATCCTATACTATGTGTACCAAATCAATGAATGCAAAAACGAGAATCAATTTAGAAAAAAAAAAGAATATCATGAAGAAAATGAACCTATTTTATCGGACCTAAATTGCTTATATTTGTTTTTTCAAACCAAACAACGGTTCGGGCCCTTTACATAAGATTCCGGAGAATATATTAAGATTACCATTTCCTAAGTTTAAACTTACATTAAAAGTATTTTAATTGAAAAGTCATATTATAAAATTGTAGACTACATGTTAGATAAAGATGTATGGAAAGACGACATGAGTCTAGATTCCACATAAATATGATTCAAAATGTATTCTATAGCATTTAAGTTTATTTGAAAAGAGCAATCCCTAGAGTTTCTTGCTCGTTCTTCTCAGGGAAAATGACATTTTCAAGTGTAAAAATTTTACAGAAATAAATAATTATTTCACTTTGCCTTTACAGGTTCCATGGTCATGGTTGCTGACTGAGATGGTAATTTCTATCATTAATGATATATCGTCTTTTTAAATTTTCCAAAGAAACATTACAATTTACGCTACATATTATGTTAGATAGCTAGATAACAAGTTTATTCAGCACAAATGAACATTGACAATCACTTCACAGAATATAACATAAAAGCACATAGAACATAATATATTATTAATTTAATACACATTTATATAAAACACACACTGTGAGAAAAACAAACAAATACTGTAAGAACTGATAAAATTTTAATGTACCTATGACTACAGTTTGTGCTGAAATGGTCCTGACTCAGCATAAATACTGTAGACCGAGAGAAGTCAAACAGTGCTGGTTTTCTGCCAGTACCGTATGGTGAGCGATCGCAGCCCAGTAACCCATGCCACCAAAGTGCATCACACGCGAATATATATACCTAACTCTAAATACTATATATAATATATCAAGTAAAAGTGTAAAATGTAAAGCAAATAATGTAAATAATGTAAGTAATGTAGGTAAGCAATATAAATAATAATGTAAGTTTACAAACATAATATTAAATTATAACAATAGCCACCAAATATGAATATATTATATAGGTACGGAAATTCATATTTTCCGATTTACAGGTATCAAACCCATCGATTAAGGTAATATCCTTAGAATAATAACGCATAGAATGATAGTTTCATATCAAACGAACTGTCACAAGAGAGGCAAAAATCAAATTCATGTAGGCTAGTTTTAGTAGTAGGTTAATTTTCGGTTTTAGTGAATATTTATATAAAAATACAAGTTGAAACGCGTTACTTCCTTGTGTGTGATGTTAGTATCTATTTTATGTTTGTCTGACGTATTTTTACACTCATTTACCGCACATTTCGTCATTTTTAGCTAAAATTCTTAATCTGTTCGCAGTGCAAGTTGACCTTGAGCACTGCAGGCCCGCCCGCTCGTGTAGGCCCTTTTGGCGCGCATCAATTTGCCTCACTTAGCGTGTGCGGACTAGGTTTCTATGCGTTATTATTCTAAGGTAATATCTATGTAGCGAGACATAACTGCTCAGACAAAAAATGTTTTTTGTATTCACGCTTAAATCGTTTTTTATTATTGATGTCACGCAATGGAGGAGAATCATGAAGGAGAACCGCCGCGAAAAGCAATCGTCCTGTGTTTTGAGATGTTAATAACATTTTTAGAAACCAATCGAAACGTAGGTTATACAAATTATTTTGTTTTAACAACATAAATTTTAATTAAAGTATATTTGTTATAATTATTAATACAAAGATCGAACACTCAGAAAAAACACTCAGAAAAAATTCCTTCGATCCGGTCGGATTCGAACCGACGACGTCTTCTTGCATACCGTGACAGACGCTATATCAACTAAAAGAATCAAAAAGGTTCTGTTTTCTAGTTTCGTAATATTAGTTTTGTTTAATTGAGCAGAATGTAGAAAATAGTAGATATACCCTTAGTAGATATACCCTTGAAAAAAGTTTCAACCACCAAAAGCAAAGGCTTTTGGTGGTTGTTACTGTTGTATTTACATAGCTGCCTATTTACATAGCTATATAGTTGTATGTACATAATCTTGCAAAACTTTTCTAGGTCCTTTGTCACGAATTTGTAATATTATGGTTGAAATATCCCATTGATATGAAATATAATGTTCCTTATTTTGTCTTTAAATAAAGAGAAACCTGAAATTTTTTACGTTTCGTTAATGGTAGGCAAATTGACTTTTCATTAACTTGACCGTAAAGACAAAGTTTTGATTTAAGAAAATGATATCAAATAAATAAAATAAAATGTTTCTTTAATTGGGTATACGCACATTAACAAATTTAAAATTCCTTAATACATTACATTACATAACGTTTAAATTGAACTTAATTAACGGAAAATTGTTATTATTAGTGAAGTAAATAACTAAGAACTAAATTAAATTGAATTTACTAAATAATTAATTTATTTATATTTTAAAAATGGGGTGTTTGAATCTATTGATAAAACGGAAATAAAAATCGTATTACATTACAGAGTAATTAAAGGAATACCTGTGATGCTGGCAAATGCAGGGTATGCAACCCCCTCGGAGGTCTCCCCCGCAGCTACGACACACTTCCTCGTCTCCAGAGGGCAGGCATCTCTTATGCTTCCGGTGATTGGGTCTGGAAAAGGAGGAATTATTATTATTGTTTTAATAATGAACAACTATGTAATCTGGGGCGTATCATTGTGCAAAGAAAATGACGATGGGCGGGCCATATAAGCCGCTGACTCCCTCCGTCCTGCACAGAATTAATATGTTTAGAACGCTCTATTTAGTTTTGTACGATAAACTGAGTACTTTTTTCAGAAACACCAACACAGCTCGAAGAAAAAGATCGAATAACTAGACACCGTAAGCCGGTGTGATTCTTTGTGGCTGGAGCCCCAATAAGTACTCGTGTCGTGAAGTTTTCAAAAAGCAAGGGGGCATTTATTCAAAGCTAATTCATCGCGCTCACCCCGCGTGATCGAAAAGTGGAGTCCGCGCTGCCGCCGGGCAGCGACCGCGTGCTAACGTCATGGCGAAATACGCTCTATTTGTTTAGCATTTACGTTTGGGCACGCGGGAAAGACTGGCTTGAAGAGCGATTTAAATGTTGCTGCCTAGTAAATAGAATTCAGACTCGCCATTAATATACTTGAGTGCGTGGTAACAGGGCGGTCGCCGCGAGGCGGCCGCGCGAGAACTTTCGCCTTGTGTAAATGGGCGCTTAGACTAATGCTTTGTCTATAATATGGCTGTCAAACTTGGATATATAATAAATGCACAAAAAACAAAATACAAGTATTTCAAAGAATAATGGAGACGAGCATACTGAATATAAAAAGAAAAGACAGAGTAAGAAATACAGACATAAGAGAAACCACAAATGTCATCCGTGCTCTGAAACAAAAAATTAAAACGCATATGGACTGGCCACATCGCCCACGGGCAAATAAAACCACGTGGACTGGAACACAAAATAAGAGGACCAGAGGTAGACCTAAAGAGAGATGGGCAGATGAAATAAACAAAGCAGCTGGCAAACACTGCAGGAAGACGAAACACAGAAAACTGTGGAGTGAAATGAAGTAGCCTTTACTCAAAGAGAGGTCCCTAATAATGTGATATATTTATTATTAATCGTAAGATTCAATTAATATTTCATTATTATTATTTTATGTTGAATTATTCAATTAGCTTTTTTATAATATCAAGAGACGGGACAAACAAGTCGTGCGCCTGATGGCAAGCTACACGCCTGTCCATAACAGTTGCGATGCCACTCAGAGCTTTAAATCGCACAGATCTGAGGCGCACTGCCAATGCGCCAGTCACCCTGAGACATAAGTTGACAAGACACATGTGTCTGTAATTTCACCAGCACCCTTACCCTTCTAAATCGGAACACAGCAATGCTGACATTACTGTTTGGCGGTAGAAATAGATAAGGTGGCAGTACTTCCTTGGACGAACTCGTGGAGCTCTACTGCTATTACTGCTAATTTATGGATAATATTATTGAATTGGAATAAATGAGACTTTATTATTATTATTTTTGTATGAAAATAACATTTGATTCATTATTAAATGCCACGGAACAAAAGTTGTCGTTTATGATTATAATAATTATAGTCCTACGAGGTGTTAACATTTTAAAAACAACCCTGTAGACATACAGACACAGACAAAGCTTCAAACTTATAACCTTCTGTTCGCGTCGTCGGCTCACATACGTAATACCTTTATATAGCACGAAACTATGTTCTCATAGTACATTAATTTTTTTTGCTTGACTAGATTATCTATCACCTAATACCAACAGCTCACTGTCGTAATGTTTATGATGATGTTGTTATATCGAGGCGGAGGAGATTGTTGCGGACTAGTTTTGTGCAATCGTCGCTGAACGTATTTTTGTACAAAACTGCACTCAGTCAGACGGTTAAACAACATTGTGTAAGTTGAGTAGGTCAGGATTTTCGCATCGATTTTATTAAAGAGTTTTGAAACTACGGTTACACTTACTAGATAATCGGATAATTGAAAAACAGGTAAGAGTCGACACTGCCTCAGTTCCTGTTAATTTATTTCCCGTACCGAATCGGTTCTATTGCGCGGGTCGAGCGACAGGGACACTGGCTTCATTTCAGAATTTCTTTTATTACAAACGAAAATAAAGCCGTTTGAAAAATGTATATCGTATACTATATACAATACGTGTTCTATTTAGGTCAGGTGACAAAAAAAAATGGTATATATAACATACCTATTGAATACAGCGGTTTCTTGTAAAATTTCAACAGTCTCACAGACTCAGTATTGATCTTGCTCAAATTTTGCGTTGTCGGTCTTGGTCTTGATCTTGGTGGTCTTGGTCTGACCAAATGCAAGAACCAGACCAAGACCGATTTTGGGCTACACTATTAGTAAATGTTTCGTATTGCGGAAATTCACGAACATTTGTAACTTAGAATTTAAAAATGAAACGTAAAGGAATATATAATTTTTCATAGATTTCTTACAGATGGCGTTACGGCTAAAAAGTCGTTGATAACCAAATACAAAGATCCGACTTGTTGTCGGCACATAGAAATATTTGTGGTTCACTGGTTCGTTCCGTGGCTTAGTTGGCATAGGGTCTGCCACGGTTTGCTAGGAGACATCGGTACGAATCCGGCCGGATCGAAGGGATTTTTTTAAGTAGTCAATATTTATATTAATGATTATAATAAACTAATGGAGTAAATTCACAAAATAATAATAATAATTGGATATCATGATTACATAATTATAACGTTTTTTTTTAAATAACCGACCTAAAAGGTCTGTGGAATTCATTGACTTACAAATAAATGGACGACGGGTCTAATACAAAAACCACGAAAAAAATGTCCCAAGGCAACCTATTCGAAATTTAAATTGTAATGTCATCGCAGTATCGCGCTGTCAGTAGAACAAATGAAGACTAAAGCGGAGTGTCGCGCTCTGTATACGATTTTAGCGCCTTACAAGTGCGGACACTTTTTAGCGCGGACCCGACGTCCATATAATTGTAAGTCAATGGTGGAATTACATCTATTTGCCAACATTTTATTGAAATCGATTTTTTTTTAAGATACCAACTCACACTCTGAGCTTTAAATCCGCCACCCTGAGACATAAGTTGACAAATCCTATGTGCCTGTAATTACACCAGCACCATTACCAAAACCAGAACGCAGCAATGCTCACATTACTGTTCGGCGGCAGAAGTAGGTAAACAGTACTTCCCTGGACAAACTCTTTCACAAGGAGCTGTAATGCTGCCTAACGGAAAGTAGTGGAATCCTATTAACCGAATGTATCCCCTGTTTGCCACCTTAGAAGTGGAATATTTTCTTCAATAGGACCAATACTGAAGAACCCCCTTGCCAACAAAGAAAAATCATCGAAATCGGTTCACAAATGCCTGATTATCGCGTAACATTCATACAAAAACAAAAAATACCTCCTCTTTTTTTAAAGTCGTTTAAAAAATACACTCGAATTTAGCATCCGATCCCTTTTTGAAGTCTGATATAAATTTTCTTTTTTCTTAGTCGTTATCTTTTGTTGATGAAGGTCGTGTCCCCGAACGGTTTTTAGAGACTTTATTTACGATTTTCTTCCATCTGGTTCTGTCTTCGGCCTCTCTGAGGGCAGTTGTTAAGTTGTTATAGGTAGGTCACTTGATGGACCGCGGAGTCTCTTTCCCGTCACCTTACTCACCACAACCAGTTTGTCAAGGTTGTTTCGTTGTCGGCAAGCAATATGACCAAAATACTGTAGGATTCTCTGGCAGCATATTGTGGAAAGTCTGCGATATTAAGCTGCTCAATTATGGATTCATATGTCCTAGCGATCCATGGTATATGGAGCATCCTTATACCTGATAAAAACAAAAACTTATTTTGTAATAAAAAAAGTGTAATACGACTCAAGTGCTTTTCTAGACTGTATTACAGCCTCTAATAACTCTACCAACGCCCCAGTTATCTCAGTGCCCGCCAGTTTATTGACTCGCTAGTTATTTCGTCAGCCCTTTACCTGTTGGTATTTCTCAACCGAGTCGTACCAACCTAGATTCATCATTGGTCCTTTTGCAAGCATAATTATTGTCTTTGGCATAATATCATATTACTCCATTCAGCAGTTTGTGCTTCAACAGACATAACCAATATTGCGAGAGTAGACAAACCTTTAACAATGACGCATAGTAAACCTATAGAGTTCCCCATAATAGACCTGAGCATGCTGTGATGCATTATTAACACGTTCATTGCCGTGTTGGGGCCGTAAGGGGTTAAGATGATCGGCGTACCTAGTTTACTAGATTTACAAAATTAAAATGAACAAAAAAATGTACTTTAATTTCAAATTGAATTTAAAAATTACAAATAGGAATTGCATGATTTGATACCGCCTTCCCCTTTCCATCATCGGGGGACTAGGGCTGGGATTCCACCTCTATGTTGTGGATATACCCAAGATTCGCGCGAAGCGATTGGCTTCCACATTTTTATAACGAGCGGCTAGGGAGTGTAATTCACTGCCTGCTGACTTATTCCGCGAACGCTATAAATTTGATATTTTCAAGGCGAGAGTGAATAGGTTTATTTAGGCGTGCATGCTACATCGTCGATCTCATCGTCACTTTCCATCAAGTGAGACGGAGGTCAAATGCGCACTTATTTTTTGTATAAAAAAAAGCAAAAAAAAATGGTTAGTAAATGTCAATCTGAAATCAACAGACGCAAGTCAGTCTTAGGTAAACATCGATAGTACATTGCGTGTGCGTACTCTGTCCGGTGTAGTGACCGGCCCAGTCTAAACGGAATCATTATTACGTTTAGGCTAGGCCAGGTTGAAATGACCAGCATAAAAAATATCCTAAAAAATAATGAAATATCATGAAAAAACTTACATACAAATGAGATCAAAAACTATCATATAAAAGTCAATGTAATTTTTTGAGCATTTTTGAAAACTCTACAGTAGCAGGCGGTTTCAACTAACTTCTAGCAAATATCAACCCTGTTTCAGGAGCTCAGTGTATTTGTTGATATCTAAATGGAAGATGTTACTTGTAGTTTATCACTGTATTACAAACATTTATGA